AGCATACATTTCGAGTAGTTCCCAAGACATTAATTCAGCAACATAACACATCTAGTTCATTTTGATAGATAGCATAGCTAACTCGCATTCATAAATTAACATTCATTCAAACTAACTCCTTAACTTCCCAATCCAATCTATCCATTAACAGATTTTTCTATTAACTAACTAACTGATCTAACATAAATCTAACCACTAACAGAATTTAAACAATTAACTCCAAACTTTTAAATAACTAACTAACAGTTCTAGTGTTCTAACTATCACAATTCACTATAAATTATCCATTTAACCAACAGAGCACTAACATATTCAACTCACTGCACAAACCAATTCCTAACAGATTTAACATAATTTTCTAACTTTGTTATAACTTGCAACTAACTTACACTTGAAATCTAAACAGATTTAAATCCCTAGCCGATTCTGTTATAGCTTCATCTCTATATAAACTCGTCTTCACCAATCATTGTGGCATTCATCATTATCAACAGTCACTGCAAAATTCACCAAACTCTCTGCAACTTATGAATTCATCTTCCTCACTCTCACTACAAACTCACATCAGTATATGATAGAGAGTAATTTATATTAATTGATTAGATATTTTAATTAGTATTAGTATTAGATCCTAGAACTTTCTTAGGTCCTTGTGATTGTGCCACTTGGATGGCTAAGATATGTTTAGAGTAATATTTAAGTGTAGTGTTTTATTTGTATTGGTATCAAAGAAATCAATGAAAGTCTTTATTTTTATTTTATCTCTCTCTTAGTTTTATCTGTCTTTTTCATAGGGTAGATTTCTCTAATTTTGTTAGGATTCTTATTTAGCATTCTATTGGTGCTTTCATTCTTGAACTTCAATCCTTCCATGGCATATCCATATTATCATTTTATCATCACTCTATTCATCCTTATTATTCTACCGTCACAACCATACCACCTAAATCATGTAATCCATACACATCATACCCATACATTTCATACCAACAATAGCCTCAAAACTCCAATTCCAATTCACAAGCAGAAACATTTCACCAACAGCTAGAAACCCTCAAACAATATTTGATTGAAACTCATAAAATCTCAAAAACATCTAGGGAAGAATTGAAAGAACAAATTCAAGTCTTTCATGTTTCTCTCACAACAGAATTTTAAGAGTTTTCTAAAGTACTACGGCAATATAGACAAAAGTATAAAAAAAAGATGTTGTCAAAATTAAACCAGAAAAGTCATCAGCAAATGAAGAAATCAAAGAGCTTTCGGTTTCACAAAAATCATTCCCGACAACAACGAAAATTTTGACGCCACTTCCGACGAGTTTTTCGGCAACAACTCCGGCGAAATTTTCGAAAGGATTTCCGGCATCTTTTCAAGCAACAGCTCCGACGTCTTCTCCGGCTACTTTGACGTCACTTTCGATGACAAATCCGGCATCATCTATGTCGTCTTCTATCCTGACAAAATAACTAGATCTACTTTTGAAAACACCATATTTGCAACCGGAAACACAAAAACCTCCACCTGAACCACCACCAAAATTTCCATATTTTCATTTCAGAGTAATTTTAAGTTATTTATTATTTTGATTTTTGTTTATTTTGTTTTAAAAAAAAAGAGAAAAAGAAAAGAAGAAAAAGAAAGAAAAAAAAGGAAGAAAGAAGAAGTGGAAAGGGAAGAGAAAGAGAAGAAGAAGAAAAAAAAACGTGAGAAGGAAAGAGAAAAAGAAGAAGCAGAAAGAAACAGAGGAAGAAAAAAAAAGGAGAAGGAAGAAAGAGAAAAAGAAAGGAAAAAAAAAAGTAACGTGTGAATCATTTTTCTCCATCAATCTGTCCTCCACTTTCTTATTATTAGCATTAGCCTAGCCTATCATCCACTTTTTATTTTCTAAACTTCTAGCCACAATACACTCTCTCCCACGTTCCATTATTATTATATTTCAAGTTTTATATATATATATATATATATATATATATATATATATATATATATATATATATATATATATATATATATATATATATATATATATATATATATATATATATATATATATATATATATATATATATATATATATTTACAACCTTGAGGATAAAATTGATTTTGAAGGGGTAAGTAGTGATAGAGAGTAATTTATATTAATTGATTAGATATTTTAATTAGTATTAGTATTAGATTCTAGAACTTTCTTAGGTCCTTGTGATTGTGCCATTTGGATGGCTAAGATATGTTTAGAGTAATATTTAAGTGTAGTGTTTTATTTGTATTGGTATCAAAGAAATCAATTAATATAAATTACTCTCTATCTGTATAGTTGTAGAGCTTCAACATTAGAAGCTCTAACAGTTGAGCTCAAATTCCTCACAACTTAATCTCTCTCGCGCATAAGCAACAACATAGAAGCAACGACGAATTCAGAAGCACACAGTGGGAGAAGAAGAAGATTATTGAGCGATTGGAGTTGAATTCTTACCTGTATTGAAGATTCCTCTGGTTTTCTTTTCTTCATTTGCCTTCATCTTCATCGCGGTATAACCTTTACCGAGGAGTGTCTCGTCTTCGTGGTTAGGTCCTTCGCCTCCATTTTGCTCTAATCCTTGTTGCAGACATGTTTGTTGTTTGAGGAATCAAATCCCTAAGAAATAGACTCTGATTCCTCCTCACGCATGTTTAATTTTATTTTGAATCGCCTAGGGCTCATATATGATCTGGTTCAGTTTGGAAGATTGAGAGAGTTAGAAAAAATCATTGTTGAATATGAATCAATGAGAGGAAGAGAAAGATGTGTGAATTTTGTAGATTGAGCCTCCGCCGTCGCCGTTGGAGAATTCCGGCGCGGCGGAGTTAGTTAGTTAGGAATCTAGTGAGGTCACATAGGAGAGAAGCACGTGAACTGTGAGGGGAACAAAATGCATAGGCTGTGTTGAATAGGGATGCTCAAATTAACCGGTTTGATGGTTTATCCATAACCATATCAGAATCCAATTTTCAAAAACTCGTTAATTTTATTTTGGTTTTTCAACCAATCCATTTTTAAAATTAGTTGGACACACATAACCAAATAAAAATCCAGAAGAAGCCCAATTGCAATTTTCAGTTCTTCTCTCTCGATTGATGTATTCTTTGTTCCTCTCTCTCAATCTCAATCAATGTATTCTTTCTTCTTTTTTCAATCTCATTGGAAAACCCTAACATAAACGATAATCCTCCTTTTCAACTCAGGTAAATGCATTTACATTCCATTTTCGATTATCATGAATTGCAGAACCTTAATTATTAGTTCCAAAAGTTCCAAAAAATTCAGCTACCGTACTCTTTCTCATTTGAATTCATATGTTATAAATATTCATGTTATAGGAAAACATAGAAATGTTTAATATATGCACTCACAAGCTGTTTGTGAAAATGCCTCACTGAGGTTCATAAATGTTATTGTGTTTGATTAAGATTGTTGTTAACCACATTGCTTTTTGAGTTTAGAGGTACTGATCTATATATGCTACTATATTAATTCATCAATATGTTACTAATATTATTCTATAGTTTGCCCCATATTCTGCAACCAGATTGACATGCTACTGTTTTTGAACTGCTTGCGACTACTTTTTAGTCTGCTTTAGTTATAGTTGTTCCATCTTAAGTAGTTCAAGTGCTTGGCTTTTAGTGAAATCATGATATTGAGTTTGATGATTCTAGTGTACAATATGAAGATCTAGAGAATTATGAATAGAGTTTTCTGAATGTAGTTGGTTAATTCCCACTAAATGTTGGCAAGTTCTGTGTAGAAAAAGAATCAGAGAATGAGTGCAATTTAGCACTTTCATTATGGTTTAATTTTATTTGTAGGAGTCTGTAATAACATTTGACTGAATCATTTCATTACAAAAACTTATACAAATTTCATTGTTTTAACACCTTTAAACCATTGTAAAACATTATAGATTTGGATTGTGTAGTTACTGTCCTCCTTTCCATACATTTTGTGAACTTAATGCTATTGATTGGAGGACAGCAACTTGACCAACACGTATGTAATCATACTTGCTGTAACTTTAGTTTAGAGTCAGAAAATATGTACAGCAAGTGATCAATAAGAGTTCTATTGTATAGACTAATCAAAATGAAATTTGAACAAACATAAGCAGGATGGATGGCATTAGAGAAATGGCAGCAGGTGATATGTTTCCCCTACAGAACCAGAGTGTCTATGATGTTTGTTATTTTTTAAGCATCACATCCTAAAATACAAAACCTTAAAATTAATAGAGATCAGAATAACCAGAAATGAAGTATTTGCACCTTTGCTCTGTAAGACTTGATGGCCGAAATCAACAACTTGTCTCCAGCAATTTGTCTCACTTTTTGTATCAATTCATGTCGTGAAATGTTCCTTTCCTGCAAGAACCTATATGTGCTGATGAAATTTTGATTAGTTTATATTTGTAATTTGCTCTGATGAAATTGAAATATGAACAATTTTGATCCGAGCACCTATATGTGCTGACTGTTGTGACTTGTTATTTGGCAGCATATCAGAGTCACACAATCCAGATCCTACATAACAATCTTGTTTAGTTTTGTCAAAGCTTTGCTTATTTGACTAAAGGGTGTGTTATTTAATGGCAGTGGCAGCCAAGAGTCTCACAGATGGCTAATGTTAGGAAGTATAAAGTTGATGTAGCATATTTTGAGTCACTAGCACTGCCTAAGTTGCAGGTGAGCACTGCCTGATGATGGTAGTGTTGCAGTGCATGTTATGTAAGGCTGAAATGAAATCAATTAAAGCTTGTGTAGTATGTTAAATGAGTGTGGTAGGAACTTGGACGCAACTGCATATAACTAATAGCTGGTATACTACAGCCTAAAAGACACTAGTGATGTTACTTCCCTGTACACTATGCTTTTAGTAATTTTTATTAACATCTCTGCATAATTTTTATTAATTTCTTATTTCTTTGAATTAATTTAACATTTGGTTGTTCTATCAAAAGCAGGAAATGTCCAAACATAATAATCTTACGACGGATGAGGCAACACAAAACTCGGGAACTACTTTTACTCGGGCACCAACCCATCGAAGAAACAAATCTTCTGTTTGGAACCACTTCACTCCTGATCCAGATTTGATTGGAATAACTAGATGCAACTACTGTGACTCTAAGTTAAAGTCCAATAATGGGATGACTTCCATGATCGGACATTCAAAGATATGCAAGAGTAACCCAAACAGTGAAGCAAATAAGAGATTGAAAACAACTCCATCATCAACAACAAATGTGACTTCTCCTTCAGCAATTGGGTTAGGAAAATTTGACCAAGAGAAATGTAGGCAGGCAGTGGTTGATATGATTGTGGAAATGGAGCTTCCGTATATGCATGTAGATCATAAAGCTTTTCGTCGTTGTATGAGTGTATTGCAACCAAGATTTATTCCAATCTCCCGAAGCACAGTAGCACGTGATGTTTTGGCTTTATGGGATTTTGAAAGGGAAAAATTGAAGACCTTTCTTTCCCAACATTGTCGAAGTGTGTGCTTGACCACAGATGGTTGGACTTCATGTCAAAACATGACTTACATGTGCATAACAGCACATTTTATAGACAACAACTGGAAATTACACAAAAAGATTTTGAGTTTTGTTAGGGTCTTAAGTCATTCAGGAGAAGTAATAGCAAATACAGTTGCAAAATGCTTGGACAATTGGGGGTTGAATAATGTTTTAACTGTGACGGTTGATAATGCGGCGTCAAATGATCGTGGGATTGAAAATCTAAAAAAGAGGCTAAGGTTAAGGAATGATTTGGTTTTGAATGGAGATCACTTTCATACAAGATGTTGTGCACATGTCATGAATTTAGTGGTTAAAAAGGGTTTAAAAGAAATTGACATTTCTGTTTCTAGAATCAAGGGTGCTGTTAAGTATGTTAAGTCTTCTCCGGGTCGAGAACATAAGTTTTTGGCATGTGTTAGAAGTAGACATATTGAATACAAAGGTAGTGTTCAATTTGATTGCGAGACTCGATGGAATTCAACATACGACATGTTGAAGGCTGCTGTACAACTTGAAATGGCATTTGTTGAGCTTGGTATTATTGATACAAAATATTGTCAAGAACTTGAGAGTGGGAGCAAAATTCCTACTCCTTTAGATTGGGAGAAGGCACGTGGGGTCGCTCAATTTTTGGAAGTTTTTAAGGCTTCCACTTTGCGCATATTGGGTTCAACATATGTGATAAGATAGGTTACCGCTGGGAATTCAGGGAATCACGAAGTGATGCCTATAAGGGCCTATTATTCAAGGATTGAGGTTTATACCATCTTGCTATCAAGGGTTGTCTACCATCGTTCAAAATACAACCAATAAATGCCATACTAGGGGGTTTATGGGACTAAAATCCAAGATTTATCCTTTATGCTCGTAAAGAAGGAGAGAAGGGAACTCAAAGTCAAGTCATGATCTGATTTGAAATGTCCACATAATTCATGACAAGTGGATTCATCTTTGAAAGTTTACCAAGATAGGAATTTAAGGATCCGTGTTCTTTTCAAAGTTCATGTTGATGACAAGCGCCAAACTTTGCATATATGGATACAAAGTCTAGTTGCCTTACAAGACTCAAGATTGATGTGGAAGGTTGTTAAAAAACTCAAATTTAAAGGATCAAGCATGGAATTTTAAGATTCAAGGCATGAGAAATATAATGTACTTAAGTTTTGAAGTCAAGAGGATTTATATATATTTTGAATCAAGATCTAAACTCAAGAGATTCCAAGATCACAAACTTTACAATAAGAAGATTTTCTTTGATGTACAAGAATGAGCTAACTTTAAGTTACAAATACATCATCATTCCACAGTTCTTCTACAAAAGGATGAATTTCCATATATTTATCAAGTTCAAGATGGAGTGAGTTGCCTTGTGATACTTCTTGAAGTTACCAAAGTTGGACACCTTGTCGTCCTGGTACAAATATTGGAAAGTCATGCGCCAATGGATTCTCATTGAGGGTGGAAAACAACAGAGAAAGAAATAGTTGTTGCGGCTGGTGCGGCAGCTGGAACTTCTTCAGGTCTCAACGCAACAGTTGTCGGTTGTCTCTTCGCTATCGAAACCAGGCTAAAACATCTTCGTGCAGAAAATCCTCCCCCGTCTACAAACGGCCATGGTTGTATTGGCTTCTACCTTTTCTCCAAACATCAAACAGGGGATACTAGTATGCAAATTGATAACAGAACTGCTAGTGTTGAAGCAGGCACCCAAACATTGAATCAGTTAATGCTTCCTGCACCAGCTATATCTATTGGTTCTACTGTACCCGCCAAAGTTGATCCCAAGTGAGACCTTCTCAGTGGTGATACCTATGACTCACCAAAGTAGATAATTCACCTGCTCTTGGCCCTGCGAGAAAACAACAAGCAGTCAGTCCTAAATCTCAACAAAAACCCTTTGTTCGCTTTGATACATTTTCTAATGGAAATAATGTGCCACTTTCTGTTAATACCCAACCAACAACCCCTCAATTTTAACAATAACAGACATTCATATCTCAAGATGTAGTCTACCCCAATGGAAGTGTGCCAAATGCTGGTTCACCTCAGTAGGAGCAGTCACTGCATACATAAGTACAGGTCCTGTCTGGGAATGGTCAGATTGCGGAACAACAGCAGCCAACTTCTTTTTTATGGTGCACAATAATGGATCATCGTCGCTACCTCCGTGAGAAACTCAACCTGCAAGACAAGAGTAGACATAAAGTTTTGAAGCTTATAGATACACAACCAAACATCCCAAAGGCACTTAGCTCAATTGATGATTTTATCAAGTCTCTTACACCAATTAGTACACTGGAGTCAGATCGTTCTTCTCCACGAATAGTGGCCTGCTACAATCTGTACTTCATCAGCGGGAGACCCTGAGCAGTCCCCAAAATCAACATTATGACAGAAGTTCAAATTCATCTGCTACAAACCCTTGTGAAAGAGATGACCTCCTAGCTTGGAGCATGTACGAGCCAGAATGGGAAGACTGTGCTGACCCTGTATCTCCATTTGGCACATCTTCAATATTGAATGAGTACCCTGTTGTTGGTGCTAGCATAAATTCACTAGGGGAACAACCACCTGCCCAGATCGATAATGGCAATCACAGTGAAAATATGCAGCAAGATCAATAGAACAAATAGAGAAATCAATTCCAAAATTCAAAGCAAAGAACCATAACCACTGCTAGTCCCAAAGACCATTAATAATTAAAAAAAAAACATCATTCATAAACCTACAGCAACGATGAAGAGTGTCATCAAGAAACCAGTAGGACTCAAACTCTTTTAATCAGAACAATTTGCTGCATAGTACGAGGACAACCATTTGAGGGTTGGGAGTGTACCCAAATCCATCGCAGAACAACATCTTCACCTGCAACACAAACCTCACAGTAGTAATTCACATTAGATTCTTGCTCAAGAAATAGGGATAGATTCGCAACTTTGGAATCACCAGTTCAAGCACACGAAGATGAGTTTGCAAAATTCAGGATTGCTCCCAACGATGAGGCTTTAGGCTCACCAGCTCTTTTACCGTAAACCACTCCGGGCTGTTAGTTTTTCTGGCCCAGAATCCTTCGCTATCCACACCTGTCAGGTTACCAATTCAAGAGTTAGCAATTAGTAAAGGAATATACCAGTTCAAAAAGGAAGATTCCCAGAACATTGAATCTGGACAAACAGAGGCATTAAGCATGATTGATGAAGGATATCACAGATTGGGATTCCATTAAACAAAATCATCCGAAAATGGAAATCTTTCAAAAACATTGTCTAAACCAAAAAGGAAATCCAAATCAACATTCAAACTAATTTAATCAAATCATAGATCCTCTCTGAGGCCTATATAAAGGGGGATTTGAACATAGAGAGGAGGAGGCATCCACAAATAACCACCGATAGAAATTCCTAAATACCAAATAACGACCCTAAGCTCGAACGAGAGGAGACTTATCTCTTGAGTTCCGTCGTTGATCTGCAGCCACACGTTCGAAACTCTCGCGAGCTACCCGGAACCCCTTTGCGAATCACCATCACTCGTGCTCCTCCACCATACTCGCCGGAATCACGAAGCTACCACCCCCATCACCGGCGAGCCACTGCCATTATTCATCAGAGGTAACAATCTCTCTCATTTGATAACTTTAATCCATGATTAACGTTGTTTTGTGGGGGGGTTTTGTTAGGTTTTGACAAAGAGTTTGGGGCGAACGCAAAGAAGAGAGGATGATTGAGGACAGAAGAAGAGGGTGGAAAAGAATGAGAGCAAATCGGGAGGGAGAAGTGTCAATTTGGGGGCCTAGGGTTTCGATTGTATCTGCTTGTGTTTTCTTTGATGTATCAATCATGGTAAATGCACACACGCACACACGAAATACTCTCACCGTCACATGATCAGACACACACTACTAACCTTATCCCTAATCAGCCCCTTTAATCTCCCACTAACTTTAATTAACCTTATTAAAACCATAATTTGCATCATTAACCTATTGTTAATTTAATTAATCAACCGTCTTCTTTTAAAGTCAACTTTAAGAAAGCTAATAATTTATTTATTAAATTATTCAAACTCACCAGTTATTTTATATTTTTTTTATAAAAAAAAATAATAATAAAAACATAATTGTCTTTTTAAAATTAAGCTTTTATATAATTTAAAATAGTTATCTTATTGTTCGATTAAGAAAAACCTTTTATCTATTTATTAAGAAACCTTTTTTCTAAATGATCTATATTTTTATTAATAACAAAAAACAACTAATACACCTTTATAATTAACTCTTTTTCTATAGCTCAATTTTCTCTTAAAAAAGAAAAATAATAATAATAATAATAATTTACTTCTAATTTTAATTTTAACTAATTAATTTACTTTTATGTTCATAATTCGACCTACTTTTTTTACTTTTAACAATTTACCCCATCATTTATTTAATATTTCCCTTTAAAAAATATTTTTCTATATTCTAAACAATAAAAAGAGGACCCTTTCACAACTTGAAATAAATAATTTTATAAGAGCTCCTTCTCCGAATAACCTACATTTCATCTATTAATGGTTAAAACGATTTTTAATAATAAAATTCAACTTTTTCTATAATTTAAATAACTAGCATATCTAATGAGAAACCTTTTTATAATAATAAATCTTCCCTTAAATTTATTTCTGTTAAATCAATTAATTCACAACTTTGATCTAATTTTCACTAAAACTAAAATCAACCAATCCCTTCCTAAAATCAATTCAACCTTTCTCAAAAAATCAACCCACAACGTAAAATATAATCTAACCGTGCACACTCACATTCACGACACATTCACTCTCACACACTTCAGCGCTTTCATGCGTGTGTATGGTCTTACTTTCTGCAATTTATCCTTCGCAGTTTTCATTATCGCCATTTATTTATCATTCCCGCAATCGCATCCGTCCAAAGGAAAACCTACACATGATTCAACAATTGTGTGTAGTGCATCTCATTTACATCATTATCCCCTCGATCCTTGATCCCATTCAAGTTGATCAATTAAGTTAGATCCTACCTTATAGGAAGGACTTTATCTTACAACATAGAAATAAACACAATACAAACAATCAATATTCAAACACATTAGAGAAAAATGCCAAATCATCTTAAGCGAGATAGAATCTCCACCCCACATCAATACAGTCAATACCGTAGGAACTTTGCCTTAAGAGAGATAAACGTGTACCTCGTTGATCCCTATCCGAGTACGTAAGTCCTTTTCTTAAGATGATGCAAAGACTATTTTCCTACAACTTGTGGCGGTTACATCTCCCTTAAAATGAAGACACATCTCTTCTCCTAAAATCAATCAATCAACTACCCTAAACCCGTAGGAACTTTGACCACAGTCAAAGAACTCCTCAAACCCTTTAGGGGAACTACAAATACTCTGATTCTACTCCCGTAAGGATATGTAGGCATAAGATGCAATATCTTATCGAGTATACTTAGATGTAAACCCCTAGGTCCTCAACCATTAAGCAGGTAAACATTAGCAATAAAAAAATATAAAACAAGAGGTTCCTGTAGAGTACTACAGAAATTTAGGATGCTAGTACCTTTCCTAAGTTTAACCAACCCCCGAACCTATAACTCTCTAAACCTTGCATTTGCATTGCATTGTGGGAATTTCGATCTTTATCCCTTCCTTTGGACAAATCAAAGT